ACACCAAAACCGTCACCCACACCAAAACCACCACCAACACCAAAACCATCACCCACACCAAAAACACCAACACCAAAACCGTCACGAACACCAAAACCATTGTCCACATCAAAACCGCACCATACTAAAACCATCACCCACACCAAAACTGCCACTTATACCAAAACCACCACCAACACCAAAACCACCACTTATACCAAAACCACCACCCACACCAAAACCATTGTCCATACCAAAACCACACCATACTAAAACCATCATCCACACCAAAACCATCACCAATACCAAAACTATCATCCATACCAAAACCGTCACCAATACCAAAACCATCACCAATACCAAAACCATCATCCACACCAAAACCATCACCAATACCAAAACCATCATCCACACCAAAACCGTCACCAATACCAAAACTGTCACCCACACCAAAACCATTGTCCACACCAAACCACGCCATACTAAAACCATCACCTACATCAAAACCGACACCAAACCGAAATAATCACCGACTTAGCTTCTTGGATTTATAGAGAAAAGAAAAGGCCCCTTGGCCCATCAAGTCCGCACTGACGTGACTACTACCCAAGGTGTTCAAATTTCAATTTCCTGCACTAATCCCACATCCTTGAATGTTATGATATTTGAAGCGCTCATCCAAATAAATTTTAAAAGTTGTAAGGCTTCTGACCTTCACTAACTCCCAGGTGGTGCATTCCAGATTCCCACAACCCACTGAGTGAAAATGTTTTTCCCAAATTCCCTCTGCATCTCCTGCCCCTTACCCTAAAACTATGCCCTCTCCTGATTGACCCCTCAACCAAGGGTGTCAACTGCTCTCTAATCACCCTGTCCATACCCCTCACAATCTTATACACCTCAATCATGTCCCTCTTCAGTCTTCTCTGCTCTAAAGAAAACAATCCAAGCCTATCTAGTCTTTCCTTATAGCTCAATTTCTCCATCCCAGGTAACATCCTAGTGAACCTCCTCTGTACCCCTTCTAGTAATATGACATCCTTCCTGCAGTGAAGTGACCAGAACTGCACACAGTACTCCAGCTGCAGCCTAACTATTGCTCTGTACAACTCCAACATTACCTCCTTGCTGTTAGACTCTCTGCCACGACCGATGAAAGCAAGTATCCCATGTCTTCTTAACTATCCTATTCACGTGCTCTGCCAACTTCAGGGATCCATGAAGATATCTCTTTTCCTCTAAGCTACTGAGTATCCTGCCATTCATTAAATACTTCTTCAACTTGTTTCTTCTTCCAAAGTGCATCACCTCACACATATCAGGCTTATATACCATCTACCACTGGTCTGTCCATCTGACCGACCCATCTATATCTTCCTGTAGCTTACTACCATCTTCTTCATTATTAATCACTCTACCAATCTTGGTGTCATCTGGAAATTTACTTCACACTCCCCCCCATATTTTCATCTATACACGTTTGCATATAACAAACAATAAGGGTCCCAGTACTGATCCTTGTGGGACACTGCTGGGCACCGGCCTCCAGTCACTCAAACAGCCTTCTACCACTACCCTTTGTGTGTTATTACGAAGCCAGTTTCTGATCCAACTTGTCAAGCTTCCCTCCATTCCATGTACCTTCTCAATCAATCTCTCATGTGGGACCTTAAAGCTTCGCTAAAATCCAAATACACTACAATAACCGAACTTCCCTCATCCACGCACATGATCAAATTTTCAAAAAGTTCTAACATTTGTTAGGCACGATCACGAAAACCATTACCTACACCAATATCGTCACCCACACCAATACCATACCTACACCAGTACCGTACCTACACCAGTACCGTACCCACACCAATACTGTATCCATACCAATACTGTATCTACACCAATACTGTACCTACACCAATACTATACCTACACCAATACCGTATCTACATCAATACTGTACCTACACCAATACTGTATCCACACCAATACCGTACCTACACTAATACTGTATCCACACCAATACCGTACTTACACCAATACCGTATCTACACCAATACCATACTCACACCAATACCATACCCATAACAACACTGTCACCCATACCAAATGAGACGAGATTCAGGACTCTGTTTCTGCTTGAAGTTTAGTAGGAGGGTATCAGAGAATCCCTATAATATAGAAGTGGGCCATTCGGTCCACTGGGTCCACACCAACCCTCTAAAGGGCATCCCATCCAAACCCACCCCTACCCTATTCCTGTAACCCTGCATTTTCCCATGGCCAATGCACCAAGCCTGCCATCCTTGGAAACTACGGGCAATTTAGCATGGCCAATCCACCTAACCTGCCATCTTTGGACAATGGAAGGAAACCAGAGCACCCGCAGCAAACCCACGCAGACACGGGGAGAATGTGTGAATGCCACATAGACAGTCACCCAAGGAAGGAATTGAAATGCTCTGAGGCAGCAATGCTAACCACAAAGTCACTGCGTTGCCATATCGAATTAAAGCTTACAAAACACTAAGATGTCTGGGTAGAGTAGACATGGAGAAGATGTTTCAACTAGTTGGAGAGACTAGGACCTGAGGGCACAAGCTCAGAGTGAAGTGATGGTCCTTTAGAACTGAGTTTAGGAGGAACTTCTTCAGCCGGAGGATGGCGAATTTGTGGAACTCATTGCTGCAGAGGGCTGTGGAGACCATGTTATTGAGTGTAATTAAGACAGTGATAATTAGGTTACTGCTTAGTAAAAGGATCAAGTTTTACAGGGAGAAGACTGAAGAATGGGTTTGATAAACATATCAGCCATGATTGATGACTCAATGGGTTGAATAGCCTAATTCTGCTTCTACATCTTATGGTATTATGGTGTATGCATTCTGTTTGCTCTGTATATTTTTATCCATATAACACTTTTCAACAAGAAGTAAACTGAAAGTAAAGTTCCCTGGACACAGTTCCCATCAAACACTTCAAATACACTCCTTGCTCCATGTACACACATCGTCTGTTGACTCCATTCACATACTAATGTGTGTCTCTTTTGTTTCATTGTATTTCCAACCCTCACTTCATCTCTCTATCTCTTTTCTCCACTTCCTTTTTTTTGAATTTATCCTTTAAAAATCTTCCCATAATTTTTACAATGTAGAAGGAGGTCTTTCTTATGTGCATCAGCTCTCTCATTCCTGATGAACAATTTACCCATTTCCTCACCATTCTTCTTCAGATAACCAGCCAATTCCCTTTGGAATGAAAAACCGAACGAACTCCAGATGTTGGAAATCAGAAATGTAAAGGGAAGTTGTTGGAAAAGCTCAGCAGGCCTGGCAGCATCTGTGGAGAGAAATCAGAGTTAACGTTTCAGGTCTGGTTCTGAGGAAGGATCACCGGACCCGACGTGTTAACTCTTGATTTCTCTCCACAGGTGCTGCCAGGCCTGCTGAGCTTTTCCAGCAATTTGTTTTTGTCCCTTTGGGATGCTTCAGTTGACCCTGCCTCCAGCACACTCTTAGGCACTGCATTTCAGACTGGAACTATGTCTCTCCCTCACCCTCTCCGTACATTATTTCTGTTGATGTATTCCCCTTGCACTCTCTCACCTCTGTTTACAGGCTCTGATGGGACTGACTGTAAGTATGATCTTTCACCATCTCTCTAATTCTCTGTCCCTGTTACTTCCCCTTTTTGGTTCAACTCCCATCTCCATCTTTCTCAATTCTCTCCGTCTGTTCGTTAGATCGGTTCCTGCCTTCTCTGTCTCTCAGTCTCCTGCTCTCCGTTCTTCTCACGTTTAATTCACTGAGGTCTGCTCAATTCTTGACTTTTTCTGTCTGCTCATCTGCTCACTATCGTCAATCCTTCATTTTGTCTTTCTCTGTCTTGCATACTTCTGGTTCGCTTCACTCTTTCTCTTTAAATATATATTTTCCTGTTTCCCTTCTCTCTCCCCCTGTTGGTTGGACCTTCTCAGTCCCTCCACCTCTTTCTCTCTCTCCTCCCTTTCTCCTCCCCCTATCAGTTTCCTCCCCCTCTCTCTCCTCCCCCTATTAGCTGCCTTCCTCCCTCCCTCTCTCTTTGGAGGGTGTGAGTTTCCCTCCGGTGCTGCTAACTCGGTTCTCTCCTTCCTGCTTTGGAACAGACACCGCTCCCGTAAGTGACTGAGTGCGGGCTCCGGGGGCAGAGGGAGCGGGCTCGGAGCGGGATTAGTTGCGGAGTGAGCTGGGGGTCGGTGTGGGGCCGCTTCACGATCGCTCTCCGGCCCCAAGGAGGGACAGCACTGTCTGGGATCAGTTTTGGATCTGTCTGGGGGATCAGCCTGGGATTAGACAGTACAGTGTCAGTGTGATAATCTCACACCGTGATTTGTGTATGGAGCTGTATAGACTTTATTCACCACACATTGTGTACGTACCTTCATTGTAATCCTGGCTTTGCCTTCCTGATCTTCTGAATCCACTCTTTCAAGGCGGCACCGCATCCTCTAGTCTATCCAGCAGGCTGTCCTTACCCAGTTTATTCCTCATTTTACTGGTGCACATCTTTCAGTTCCACACTGAACAACCCTCTAAAATCTCTGTCCCAGGCCCAAACTTGTTGAGCTACAATCCATTCTGCTGCCTTTCCTTGATCCCTACACTGTCGACTGATCGCCACTGTCCCCCCTTCCCCCCGGAAATCAGACCGTAGCCCCTCAATACCTGCCCTTGTGCCACTAGTGCTGAGGACGACAAAGGGATTGATATAGAAAGGGAAAATAGAGTACAAGTCTAAACTAAGTGTAAAAGTTTCAAGAAGCATGTGAAGAGAAAAAGATTGATGAAGACATATGTAGGCTCCTTACTGTCAGAGACAGGAATTTATAATGGGAACAAAGAACTGGCTGACAAAATACATACTTTCATTCTATGTTTAGGAAGAAGGATACAAAGATATAGCAGAAATGTTGGGGAACGCAAGGTTTAGGGAGAGCAGAGAACTGAAAGAAATCAGTATTAGTAAGGAAATGACGTTGGCGAAATTGATGGAATTAAAGACCAATAAACCCCAAAAGTACTTCAGGAAGTGGCCTGAGAAACAGTGGATGCATTAGTGAACATCTTCTAAGATTCTACAGACTCTGGAGCGTTGGAGGGTAAGATTGGAGGGTAGCTAATGTAACCCCTTTATTTAGAAAGGGAGGTAGAGAGAAAACTGGAATTATATATCAGCTAGCTTGATGTTGGTAGTGGGGAAGGTGCTAGAGTCCATTATAGAAGAATTAATAGCTGAGCATTTGGAAAACAGTTGCAGAAGCTGACAGAGTCAAACGGATTTACACGTGGGAAACATACTTGATAAATCTGCTGGAATTCTTCAAGGATGAAACTCTTAGAGTTGATGGGGGCGAGCCATGGATGTGGTTTATTTGGAATTTCAGAAGACTTTTGAAGTCCTACATAAGGGGTGTAAAATTAAAGCACATGGGATTGAGGCTGATCTATTGAGATCATAAGACCATAACATGTAGGAGCAGAATTAGGCCATTTGGCCAATCAGGTCTGCTGTGCTATTTGATCATGGCTGCTATGTTTCTCAACCCCATTCTCCTGCCTTCTCCCCACAACCCTTGATCCCCTTACCAATCAAGAACCTATCTATTTCTGTCTTAAAGACACTCAATGACTTGGCCTCCACAGCCTTCTGCGGCAGTGAGTTCCACAGATTCATCATTGCCTGGCTGAAGAAATTCCTCCTCGTCTCAGTTCTAAAGGGTCGACCCTTCACTCTGAGGCTGTGTCCATGTGTCCTGGTCTCTCCTATTAGGGGAAACATCTTCTCCATGTCCACTGTATCCAGGCCTCTCAATGTTCTGTCAATTTCAATCAGATCCCCCATCATCCTTCTAAACTGCATCGAGTACAGGTGCAGAGTCCTCAAGTGCTCCTCACATGACAAGCCCTTCATCCCTGGGATCATTCTTGTGATCTCCCCTGGACCTCCTGCAACACCAGCACATCCTGCCTTAGATATGGGGCCCAAAATTGCTTACAATTTTCCAAATGCAGTCTGACCAGCGCCTTATACAGTCTCAGTAGCACAACCCTACTGTCCTATTCTAGCCATCTCCAAGTGAATGCTAACATTGTATTTGCCTCCCTAACTGCCAACTGAACCTGTATGTTAACCTTAAGAGATAGATGGAAAACTGGTGGCAGACAAGAAACAAACAGTAGGAATAAACAGGCATTTTTCCAAATGGCAGGCATTGACTAGTGGGGTACGGTAGGGCACAGTGCTAAGACACCAGTTAGTCACAAAATATATTAATGATTTTGGTGAGGGAACTAAATGTAATATCTCCACATTTGCAGATAACATAAAGCTGGGTGGGCAAGTAAGCTGTGAGGAGGAGGAAGAGATGGTTCAGTGTGATTTGGACAAGTTGAGCAAGTGAGTAAATGTGCATAAATGTGAGGTTCTCTACTTTGATAGCTAAAACAGGAAGGCAGATTCTTTATCTGAATGGCTAAAAGTTCAGAGAAGGAATGTACAAAGAGACCAGTCACTGAAGGAGAGGATGTAGGTGCAGCAGGCAGTAAAGAAGGCAAATTGGCCTCCATAGCGAGAGGATTCGGGTACAATTATACAGTGCCTTGGTGAGACCATACCTGGAGCACTGTGTGCAGCTTTATCTGAGGAAGGATGTTCCTGCCATCAAAGGGAGTACAGTGCAGGTTTACCAGGCTGATTGCTGGCTCATTGGGACTGACGTATGAAGACAGGTTGAATCAATCAGGATTATATTCACTGGGGTTCAGAAACATGTTGTGGGGGTATCTCATAGAAACTGATAAAATTCTAACAGGACTGGTCAGGGTAGATGCCGGAAGGATGACAGGGCAGTCCAGAATTAGTGGTCGCAGTCTAAGGATATGGGGTAAATATTTGGACAGAAATGAACAGAGATTTCTTCACCCAGAGAGTGCTGAGCCTGTGGAATTTGCTACCACAGAAAGCAGGCGAGGCCAAAACATGATATTTGTAGAAGGGATTGGTTGTGGCACTTGGGCCTAAAGTGATTAAAGAATATGGGGAGAAAGCAGGAACTATTGAGCAGGTTACTGAGTTGGATGAACAGCCACGATGAATGGGGGAAGCAGGCTTGAAGGGGCTGAATGGCCAACTCCTGCTCCTATCTTCGATGTTTCGATGTACTACACCCTCTGGCATTTGCTTTTCCTCCTAGAGAGTATTCTGCTCTTGCTCCATGATGCCCTCTTCCTGGCACTAAGGAGGCAGTATGCCATTGCAGAATTCATGGTACTGGTTGTGTCCATTTTCCTGCCTACGGGAATCTCCTGGCACTGTGGGCCTGCAGTCCCACCCCTCCCACACCCCACACTAGGGCCAGGGCCTCTGTAAGCCCTATTCAGCTTTAGGACAGTCAGGTTCCTCTGTGCCTGGTAACTGCTCTGTGGGCTACGACATGCCTGGGTGACATGATCCTCCATCTGTCTGTCCAATTGCCTGTTGACTGTGGCCCTCAGAATACAGTCAGTTCTGAGAGAGCTGTGCATCTGAGTGCAGGGCAAGTATTAGAACCAAGACCCCCCGCAAAATGGAAAGAATTTTAAGATCAGAGGTTGGTTGAATAGGTTTAAGATTGGCCAGAGGTGTGGTTCCTGAGAATTATTGCGAGTACTCAGTTGGTTGGAGGCAGTATTAAAGCTGAGCTGAGCTGTGAGATGAGTGAAGGTTTGTTGTCGTGCCCACACTGTGATGGAGGAGAGTTGCATTACCGAGCTGCCTGGCCCAAGGCAGGCTCTCTCAACATCAGCCCTGTTCATGATAGGTATGTTTTAGACACTGCTTCTGGGGCATCCAGAACAACTGGTCACAGTCTAATGATATGGAGGAAATATTTAGGACTAAGCTGGGGAGAAATTTCTTTACTCAGAGTGGGGCGCCTGTGGAATCCATAGCCACAGAAAGCGGTTGAGGCCAAAACAGTGAACGTTTTCACAAATGAATCCAGCCCAGCTCTGCTGGGTAAGGTTGAGCTGTTGGAGGTGTGGTGTAAGTTCTACAGCCTCGTTGTTGTGCTGCAGCAGAATTGACCGCGATCAGTAAGGAGTGATTCAGTGTTACTGAGGGTTGAGTTTTGATGAACCTCCGACTCGATGAGGAAGGAAGCGTGAAGGGAGTGAGGAATTCCACTTTTCAGGGTGCCCTCGTTGAATTAATTTGACTGGGTTATTTTTAATTGAGAATCACTGAGGAAGTGACAATAAAATAGAAAAAGATGCTGCAGCAAAAGTTAGAGATGACCTAAAGTTACTGAGCAAATGTGGTTAGCAGGTTCTCATTGAGCAGATGTACGTGACTCTGTCAATTAAACCCTCTCACCAAAGTCAACAAACTTTTATCAAACACATCTTCACCCACATTGATCTGTCCTCTATTTGCACTTTCAGACAGACTCCACTCCTGTGTTTGAACTGACAGACCATGCAGTATCTGAATGGACAAGCAGGCCACCCTGTAACTGAAATGTCAGGCAGACCTTGCATGCTACTGATTATTGAATGGACCATATAATCTCCTGTGACTGATTAGAGATGAAACTGTGACAATGTTCTTTCTTTCAATGCGATTATGGTGTGTAGCGACTCTTTTGCAGTGAGATAATTCCCTTTTTGCATTTTGTCATGGACATACAGTGCAGCTAAACTGATAAATCAGCCTCAAACCTCATTGTTACATTGTAGAGAATAGTCTTTCAACAATCTCAGTGTCTATCATCCCGCTTTCAATCTAATTGACTTCACCCACACTCTGCTATTTATGTCTAGTGAGAAGCAGCTCCATGACATCATCACAACCTTGCTCCAGGGACCTAACGGCCTTACGTCTCCCAGTGTTTTAACCTGTACAGGACCTTGTCCTACGCATCCAACCACCACCAAAATTTCTCACTTTCTCTGCCTTGGAGCTCTTGCCTCCACCCCCCAGCTACCGCCCCAACCCCCCCACAACCCAGGCCTATATTGCTAGTCCTACCCAGCGCAGAGTAAGCAGCAGACTATGAAATTCCCTGTCTCACCCCATTTCTTTGACCAACCATTTGGTGTTGTGTCCAGTACCTCCTGAGATGGCAGGAGAGAGATAGA